AAAGCTACTCCAAATTGTATGCTTCTGAGTGCCGCTGCGACACTGTAGGCAATTCAACTCTCTGCTGTGGGCCAGGTATTTTGGGTATTGGTCTCATGATCCCTCTGCTTGGGGGCTTAAAAATATCATGGAGTTAATTATAGCTAACATGAATATAGTCAGTTAGTCAATAAACATTTTTAAAGTGCCTACTGTGTGCCAGCCATTGTGCTAAACACTGGGGGAAAAACACTCCCAAAATAAGACATCCAAACTAGGCCCTGTTCTCAAAGAACTCATAGTCCAATGGCAGAGACAACATGCAAACAACTACATACAATCAAACTACATAGAGAATAAATTGGAGATAATTAATAGAGGGAAGGCACTATAATAAAGGGAAATTAGGAAAGGCTTTTTAGAGAAGATGGGATTATACCCTGGACTTTCAGGAAGCCAGTGAAGCCATGAAGCAGGGATGAGGAAGGAAAGAATCCAGGCATGAAGAACAGACAAGGAAAAGGCCTGGAGTCAGGAGATTCAGTGTCTTGTTGGAGGAAAGGTAAGAAGGCCAGTAGGGCAAGTTGGTGATGAATCAGATAGAGTGCTGGGCCTGGGATCAGGAAGACCTCAGACGACTAGCTCAGACAACTAGTGACCTTGGGCAAGCCACTTAACCCCGTTTGCCTCAATTTCCTCATCTGTAAAATTATCTGGAGAAGGAAATGGCAAACTACTCCAGGATCTTTGCCAAGAAAACTCCAGATAGGGTCATGAAGAGTTGAACACGACTGAACAACAACAACAAGGCCAGTATCATTGAATGGCAGAGTACTTGGGGGTGAGTAAGGTGTAAGAAGACTGGAAAGACAGGAAGGGACCAGGTTATGAATAGCTTTGAACCCCAAATAAGGGATTTTATAGTTGCGCCTGGACATAATAGAGAGTCACTGGAATTTATTAAGGGGTTGGTCAGACCTGCTTGGTAGGAAGGTTACCTTGACAGCTGAGTGGAGAATGGACTAGAGTTGGGAGAGACGTAAGGTAGGTAGAGCAATCAGAAGAGCAGTGGGTAGAGCACTGGCCCTGGAGTCAGGAAGACCTGAGTTTAAATCCGGCCTCAGGCATATAACACTCACTAGTGTTGCCTTATAAAAAAAAAAGATTATTGTAATAATTCAGGCATGAGATGATGAAAGTCTGGGGTTTGTTCTTTCTTTCAGAAACAATTGGTGTTAAGTGACTTGCCCAGGGTCACACAGCTAGTAAGTAGCCTGAAGCCAGATTTGAACTCAGGAAGATGAGTCTTTCTGACTCTAGCCACTTTGCCACCTAGCTGCCCCCTTGAGTCATACCAACCCCCCCCAACTGGAGTTTGTGCCCATGTTAGAGGAGAGAAGGGGGTGAATACAAGACATGTTATAGAGCTAAAATCAGCAGGACTTGGTAATAGATTGAATATAGTGGGTTAACAGAGAATGAAATGTTGATAACACTGAGATTGTGAGCCTAATTACTGGGAGGATGGTGGTGCTCTCAATAGCAACAGAGAAGTTAGAAAGATGGGAGAATTTGGCGGGGGGGAAGGATAACGAGTTCAATTTTGGATGTGTCGAGCTGAAAATGTCTATGGGACAACCAACTTGAGATGTCTAATAGGCAGTTGGAGATGAAGTATTGGAGGTCAGCAAAGAAGTGAGGGCTAGATAAGTTAATTTGAGAATCATCAGAATATCATCAGGATAATTGAATCCATGGGAACCAATGAGATCACAAAGTGAAATAGTATAGAGGAAGAAGAGAAGGACAGATTTCTGTGGGACACCCATGTTTATTCGACATTACTTGAATGAAGATCCAGCAAAAGATACTGAAGAGTGGTCAAAGAGGTAGGAGGCAAACCAGGAGAGAACAGTGTCATGAAAACCTAGAGAGAAGAGAACAGTAAAGAGAAGAAGCTGATCAACAGTATCAAAGGCTGGAGAAAGGTCTAGAAGGATGAGGATTGAGAAAAGACCATTACATTTGACAATTAAGAGATCACTGGTAGCTTTGTAGAAAGCAGTTTTAGTTGAATAATGAGATTAAAGCCAAATTGCAGAAAGCTAAAAAGAGAATGAGAAGAAAGGAAGTAGAGGCATCTATCATAGATGGTCTTCTGGAGGAGTTTAGCCAAAAAAGGAAGGAGAGATATAGGATGATTGATGCCTAGTGGGGGTGGATGAATTAAATGAGGGTGTTTTGTTTTGTTTTGTTTTTAGGATGGAAGAGACAAGAGCATGTTTCTTGGTAATAGGGAAGCAGCCAGTGTATAGAGAAGATAAATGACAGAGTGGGATGATAGAGGAGGCAATCTGCTTGAGAAAACAGGATGGAAAGGCTACTTCTTCTTGTGATGCCAGGGTGAAGGCAGAGAGAATGGAAGAAGGAATCTGGAAGATGTAAGATGAGGAGAAGGGGAGAAGAAGGAGCTGTTGGTGAATGAACTTAATATTTTCAGTGGAATATGAGGCAAGATTCTCATCTCAGAGGGTGGGGAGTGGGAGAGTCATGGAAAGTTTGAGGAGGGATGAAAAGGTTTGGAAAAGCTACTGCAGTAAGTTGGATGGTGAGTCAATGAGGGAGGTGTAAAAGGATTTCTCTGCTATAGGAAGGGCCCAGTTTAGTTTATGCAACATAAATTTGTTCATGGATCCAGTTAGCACAGTTTTGTGATTTTCTACATTTTCATTTGCAAGCACATGAATAGGAGCAATGCACGATCGGAGTAATTCGAAACTGAGGTTTAACAGAGCAAGACTGATCATAGGATAAGAGGGTAAGGGATATGGTACTTCAATGTTACAAACCACTTTAAGTGTTATCACATTTGATTAACCTGAGGTTCCAATGGATTTGAAAAGCTCAGGTTCTGGTCTAATATTTTCCAGACCAGTTAGGGGATAGACACAGCTTTCTCAATTAGATATTTAGAGTCCCTTACCATGAAGAAGGTAATAGCATCTCTATAAGCCTCTAAGTTCAACATGGCAAGGAAGGGCAAATAACCTTTTCTCTGGTATTTCAAGGATCTATATTCTATATTTTGAAATATATCTATATTTCATTGGTGGATATGCTCCCTCTATTTAAGCAGATTCCCAACCCCTCTTTAACTTATTAAATGGTTTTTGAGAGTTCTGTGTTCGAAAAAGTCTTCACTCTATAGCCAATTTGATGAGGATCATCTCTGAATTTAGCAAGGGAAGTCCATAGACAACAGACACACAGTTCATCACCTGTAATTTAATTGATGTAGGGAATTCCCAGTGTGGACATTCCCTCTAATTGGGCTTATTGCTGATGAGTAAATTCTATGTAACTTATGGTCAGTCTTTCGATAAGTATTTTCCCATAATGTCACAGAGACTCTACTAAGCACTGGGGAAAGGAAAAAAAAATCCTTAATCTCAAGGAGCTCACAGTCTAACGGGAGAGGCAACATGAAAATAACTGCCTTAGAGAGTTGCTTGGCAGCACTAGTAGGTTAAATGATATCAGATAGTATGTGTCAGAGGCAGAATTTGAACCCAGATATTTCTGACTCCAAGCCTAACCTTCTACCTTGTCTGCTATGCCACATCACTTGGCTTATGTATAATCAATTAATTCAGCTCCTGATATATGCAGACATCCATTCATTCTGGTCAGGTTAGTTAGCTCAACTAGGGAAATATACTGGTAGGGAATATGGAATAGTCTACTAGTTGGTATGGAGGTCCTGTACCTATCCTAGTGTGGACTCTACCAGAATTAATTATGAAAGTGCTGCTGTCATACCAACTTGCATCAGTGGTGTTATGACTTATAGATGGTTGGGTATATGTAGGGCCTGCCCAGATCTTAATCACTTATATTTAGACATAATAGCTCTAAATGTATCTTTAGACCCTGCCCAAGTCTCTTGGTGCCTTAGGTTTCTTATTTTATTTGATCTCATAGCACTTTGCCCCCTTCTACTTTTATTGTACTTACTTTCCTGGTGCTGGTACAACCTGTGGAGATTGCAACCCCTTCATATCTTCTCATCTTGTGCAATTTTTGTTGGTAAGGCAAATCTTCCACAAAGGAGAATACCAGGTTAGGGCTCTAGTTATTAGATATTTTATGGCTACATGGATGGCCAGGCCACCTCCTTTTCAGGTCATACACATCTTTGATGATGCAGTTCATGACTCTCACATAAAAGCCATTGTTGGTAATATGATATAGTTTAATTTATGACACAGGTCTTTATGTTGCCTTTTGAGTTATCTATAATTTTTGATATTTATGAAATTATTGTATTCATTTATTTGTACATAATGTGTTTTTTAAAAAATGGTAATGAACTTCAAAGCACTTGACATAACTTCATTTGAGTCTTGCAACAAGCTTAAGGTTGCAACAAGGTTAAGGTTCTAAAGTGAGGCCCAGGGAAATAAAGTACCTCACCTTCCCTAAATGTCTGAAGGATGTCAAACCCAGCTCTCTCCTGATTCCAAGTCCAGTGAGCTTTCTATACCATGCTTCCAAGATGGGATTTAGCAGCTTAGAACAGTTTGAATTTACTAAGCAGGTTTCCCCATATAATATAATTATAGAATTGGAATGGATCTCATAATAACAGACCATCAGGTCCAAATCTTTGTTTTACCAATTAGGATACTGAGACCCTGAGAGGGTAGGTGAACCAGTTGGTAAATCAAGGAAATTGTGGTCACACTCCCAGACCGCGTGCTTTCCATTACAGTCTATTTCCAAATATTAATTAGCATTTGTGAACTTGCTTTATCTCCCCTCCTAAACTCTAAGTTCCTTGAGGAAAGGGCCTGTTTATTTTTGTCGTTACCACAGAGCACAAAAGTGGTGCTTAAAATTAGAATGTGGAACGAAGGGACAAAAGGCTAAGCAGACCCCAGACTGGAAGTCTAAAGAGAAGCAGCAGTACACAAAGCGAAATTCTTTCCCGCGCAGGCGCATAGGGTATGCGAATGCTTCCGTTGCATTCGTTCCTTTGGTGTCCGACCTTGCTTCCGGCCGCTCAGTGCGCAGGCGCAGAACTCGAACCAAGATGGCTGCCCCCGTGGACCTGGAGTTAAAGAAGGTAAAAGAGGGTCTTGAGAGGGAAGAATAGTCCCTAGGGAGTCCGAGGAATCCGTGAGCGAGGAAGTCGAGAAAGACACCTGCCATGACGAAGGGAAGGGGGCTCCTGGGAGCCCGTGTAAGGGCCGGACCTTCTCCGAGCTCTCTGGGGCTGTGGGCCCCCGGGGGTCGGCTCGGGCCCATCGGGCTTCTCTTTCTTGGCCTATACACCTAGTGTTCGGGCTCCAGTCCACTCGTGGAGCCGCTGTGGCTTGGACGGTGGGAGAGGGAACTCAATTTTCCAGAATAGAAAGAGGCAGGAAGCTGTTTTCTGTCAAAGTTGGGGAGATTCCAAGACTGTTGGTGTTTGAACCACGCCCCCCCCCCCCCCACCCCGGCCCTCTGTAAGAGACCTGCAGAGTCACCCTTGTTTTCAAAGACCTGGCTCCTCATTTGAAAAACAAAAAATCAAAATACTAATTAGATCTTAAAGGAAGCTTAGAACTTATCTAGTTAGGAGAAACATTGTAATTGGGATCAGGATAGATTTCAGTATAAACGCTGTTTTGCTACACTGTGACTTTGGGCAAATCATGTTCTTGAGCTCCTGTTTCTTATTCTATAAAATGAGGGAGCTACCTTCCTCTTGGTACCGAGAGGACTAGCAGAGGACCGCGAGTTGGCTGTCCTCTTGGGAGAGGGAGGAAGAATGTTGAATGCATGTCAGTTGAGGTCACTATCCGTTGTTTTCACTTTTTTTTTTTTTGGTCACGAAGGAGGGAGGGGTTAACGGGAGGGGCTGTTATCCAGAAACAATGTATTGTTAAAACAAAAGCATCGATAAAACTTAGTAAAAATAACATTAAATAAAATTAAGGAGTTAGATGATCTTCAAGGTTTCTTTCAGCTCAGAGAGGTAGTACAGTGTAGTTATAAGAACTCTGGACTTGAAGTTAGAATGCCTGAGTTTGTATCCTGGACTCAGGGATTCCTTAGAATTCTGGCTCTCGTACTTACTAGCAGTGTGACTGTGGTCCAATCAGTTCACCTTTGTGCTCCTTAGTTTTCTCATTTGTAAAAAGGGGATAGTAATACTTATTCCGCCCACCTCACAGAGTTGTCCTGAAAAGAGCATTTTGTAAATCTCAAAGCACTATGTAAATAGGAGTTATTATTAAATCCTGTGAGTATCTTTGTTTTTACCAGTGGAGCTCTTTCCTCAAACTTTTGCAAGCCCCTCTGATTTTTGTAGGAAGTGTGGACTATCTGATGTTCTTATAATACTTTCTATCTCAGACTTTCAAGGGTTTTATTTGTTTTTAAAGGCCACCTTTAGTGTTGCTTACTTGGGGGAAAAAAATCTAATGAAGTTTTCCCCATGAAGTGAATTGAGAAGATTGAGAATTTCTGTCTAGATCATAGCTTCTTGGCATGTACATTTTCCAAAATAATTTTAGGTCTTTAGAGTACTTCAGGAGGACTATGATAGTCCATAGAACCCAATTATAGAATCAGAGAGCCAGAACAGATCTTAAAAGATCATTTTATTTCGAATAAAATCTGTTCTTTTTTTTAAGGGATAGAAAGGGCCTTATAAATCATCTACTCAGCCTTTATTTCTTAGAAAAAACTTAGGCCCAGAGAGCTTAAATGATTTGGCCAGGGTTTCACTAATAAGTAGGAAAGCCAAGACTGGGACCTAATTTCCTGATTCTAGTTCTCTGTTACACTATACTCTGATGATATATTTAGCCTTGCTGTTTGCAAGACCACATGGTCATATGTTTCTTCTCTTAGAAAAAATAATTGCTAAAATAGGTTTGTACTCTTAAATTTACTATGAATTTATGGTTTAAGGGAAAGAGAAGGCAAGTAGAGGTTACAATGACCAATATACCTCACTTGCTTTCTGAGACGTTGGATTTGTGTGTGTGTGTGTGTGTGTGTGTGTGTGTGTTAAAAAATAGGAAAAAATGCAATAGAAATTTTTTATCCTGAATGCAAGTTAAAATTGGCTCAAAGTTATTTTAACCAAGAGCTTTAACAATAATTTGTTTTTAGGGAAAGGCAGTTATGTGTTTTGGTTTTAAAGTAGGCTAAAGATTTTATTTTTAAACTTTCCCCCAGTCATTTATTAGTTGGAGACAAATGTGGAAAATGTCAGGAATTAAATAATCTGAAACAGTTATGAGTGAGGGAAAACAGGGTGAGAGTGAAAGTTGAGCTATGGTTTTGCTATGCCTTAGTAATCACAAATGCTATTATTAAGGCATAAATTTGACAGCATGTGAAAATCATTCCAGGCACTTCAGCAAGAGTATTCATGGATGGTGTTTATCCCTAGAGTTGGGTATGCGTAAACAGTAGTAGAATTTTGCTTGGTATCTGTGTAGGGGAATTAAGATATAATTCTATAACTGAATTTTCTTGTTTTTTTGTTCTGTTATAGTAGTCATATTCTGAACCATTATATTACATGTTTGTTTCACATTTTTGCATTTTCTCTCATTTTCTTCCTTGAGCTCCTATATTACTTATTGTCTAACCCATTCATTTGGCATTTATGTACTACTTTGTTTTGTTGTCTTTTTAATGTGTGCTGTCTCCCCAACTAGACTATAACTTGCTTGAATTCAAGGATTGGTTCTAAAACTCTTCCCCCTTATGTAGTACTTTATACCTTTCTAATTTACTTATCATGTATAGTATGTATTATTATTTTCTGAGTGCCTTCTTTTAGACTGTAAACTTCATGAGGACAAGGTTTATCCAAATTATACCTATGTTAACCCCATGGCTTATCTCAACTTTGTTGCTCGTTTCTTTCCCAGTGCTTAGAAGAATGCTCTGCATTCCCCATAGGTACTTTATAAATGTTTGTTGAATTTGTGTTTTCAGTATTGAGAACAGTTCCTTGCACATAGGTACTCAATAAATATTGATTGATAACTTTTATTCTATATTTATTGGTAAGTAATAAGGCCTTGACTGTGTCGACAATTTAAAGCTAAACTTGCATGTTTTAAATTGTTGTATTTTGGATTTTATTTATTAGCTTGCTCTCGTGTTTTATTTACTAAATCAATGACTTGGATTTTTTTTTTTTGGTCAGGCTTTCACAGAACTACAAGCTAAAGTTATTGATACTCAGCAGAAGGTGAAGCTTGCAGATATACAGATCGAACAGCTAAATAGAACGAAAAAGCATGCACATCTTACAGATACAGAAATTATGACTTTGGTAGATGAGACTCACATGTATGAAGGTGTAGGGAGAATGTAAGTAAAGTGTCTTTATTAAGGGGGTGATTCTTGGAATGGTTTGTGGCTGAATTCTGTAAAAATTGTTTTATTGATGCTTTGAGAGTGTTTTTTTTTTAAAGTATCAGTGTCATTTTCCAGGATAAACTCCTTTTCCCCAGCTCCAGTGAGCACTTCCTCTTGTAGTAAAGAACAGTTGAGTAAAGCAAACTAATGGTGACCATATCCAGCAATATATTCTTCCTTCTCTACTCAGCCAGCCACCTTTCTGCTTTTAAGATGGGCCAAAAAAGTCTCAGCAGTAGCAAAAATCAAATGAACATATAACTGACATGAAAGAAAGTCTAGTAATTGTCAGTGTCAAGCATTATTCAGACATGAAGGATAGCAACTTATACAGGAGAAATCCCATAGGAAATCAATTCCTTTAGTGCCGCTTTTACTTTGTGACCAATCATGTAAATTCATTTCTGTTTGTGTTATGAACCAAGTCTACTTTATCTTCCCTTGGTAGGAAAGAAGGTATAAAAACATGATTGCAAAAATCTAAATCCGTTATAATTCATTTAGCATGTCTGTTTGTGTTATTGTTTGGTTTTTGTATTAAAATTTTATCTATTGTATGAAGGGGTCGTTGCTTGAGGTATGGCAGTACTTTATACAGAAATTTTTATTGCTTAGAATTGGACCTCTATATCACAATATCTTGTTTATGATTGATTTATAATTAAGCTTAACATATGTATCATAAAAACTACCTGTAAAATGGCATTATGAAAACAAATCTAGGTTCATTAGTTCCTCTGTTCTCCTTGAAAAGAAACTAACAATTTGATTAATTCTCATTTTACTAATATATATTGTACAACAAAGTAATTTGCAGCTTTTTAAAGCTTAACATTTTCTGGTTAAGCGTGTTTTGAGAGGAAGTAAATCCCTATTTGAGTTAGTTGTTGAGACATAGTAGAACTGGGAAGATGACAAAATTAAAACCCTTGACTATGTGGCTGAGCAGCACCGACTGCATACTTGGCATTCACTGCATGATAATTTTATCCATAAGTCTTAAAATGACAGCACTAACTTCTCTAAGGCCAGTGCCTGTTGATGTGCTGCTTTTGAGTTCCGCATCCTTGTCCTTTGTTTGAAGCATCTAAGGAATTTCCAAAATAGAAAATTGGGATTAATGTCTCTTACCACTTCTTTAACCCCTGGAGAGTTCTTGTTTTTCATTTGAGTATTTTAACTTAATTTCTTCTATCAAGTATCTAGGAAGATGCCAAATACTTCCATTAAGGTAATTTGACATAAATAACTTAAGGGCAGGGATAGATAATTAGTTCATGAAAGACAAGTGTTCTGTCTAGAATATTTGTTTTAAGTAAATACTGTTTCTTTTTTAGAAAAATCTCCTTTTCAAACATTTGATATGGTGATATTCTTCTGTGGATTAAAACTTAACTTTTAATTTTGGCTTTAATGTTTCCTATATCATATTGGCAGTATCAGTTTGACCCTGTATTGTAGGGGCATGTAAGGTGAACAGTTTGTTGTTTAGCTAGAATGAGAATGCATTATGAGGGACAGAAGATTTGTGAGTATCAGTCTAGTCACGAGGACATTCCCTTTTTTGATGCTAAGCCTGAACTATCTATTTATGAATTTGTATTCTTGGGTGCAGTATCTTTGTGATTCAGTTTTTTTTTTTAATTTCCAGTCATTATCCTAGTTAGTTTGTCTCTTTTGGGGGATGGAGGATATATTAACATCAGTTTTTTTATGTGTTAATTAGGTTTTGGGGTTTAAGATTTGTTCTAGCATTTTGAGGATGGATTTGATTACTTCCTTGTTTTAATTCCCAGATTATTTGTACCTTTTTTTTAATCCTTTGGAAAAAAAGCAGTAGCTTAAAGAGGGTAAAATACTCATGCATTATAATATATTGTAGTGACCCAGACCAGAAGAAAAAAAAATACATCTGATGTGAAGTGTTAGAAACAATAAAAATGAAAGAAAATCACTTCAGCAAAGGAATTTATAAAACTACTAATAGGCTAAGTGTCCTTCAATTCTTATGTGGAGAAAATTTGATAGTAATACTTAACACCTATACAATGGCTATTTTTGGTTTAGTACAAGTAAAATCAAGCTTCATGATAAAAGATGACAAATTACTATATACTGTAAGTTGTGAGTATTCATTGCTGAAAGCTATATTCCTACCCCGTGGCATATTGCCAACACATTTTCATTCTCTTACTTCATATTCTTTGGAGAGGCTTGTTATGTAGCCTGATACTACTACCACCAATTTCTAGTTTTGCTACTTAAGCTGTTTGTGAGCTGACCTCACTGTGCTACTTTGAGAACCATGATGAAAGTTACAACTGTGGAATGATCTGTCTGAATATTTGGAGGTATTTGCCTTTGTGTTCAGCATGCATGTAGACAGAGTGGTCCTTGCATCTTCTGTGATTGAAAAGAAAAAAAATTATAATGGTGCATGTAATTTTCCCTCTTTACCTTATTTGAAGTAGCTAAACTTAGTGAGAGGAGTATTTTTTCTGTTTTTGTAAGAATTGTATTTGAAAGTGCATGTAAGAAATGCCATTTTAAAAGTGATAAGGCATTTGAAAATATCATGGTTAGGAAAAATAGGGCTGTGGATATTTTTCTAAGTAAAGATATGACCCTGTTTTGATGCCTTATCAAATTTTTCTGTTACTGTTTCTCAGTGGTTATTTTGGTTGAGCACTGCATGAATAATTTTCTTCCTTTCCAAAGAGAAATTAGATGTTTTTATGGGTGGAACATGAGTAGATTAGCCTTTAAGAAGAATGGTTACTGCCCTTTTAAAGTTGAACAGAACTGTAAATAACTGGACTATTTTAAACTTAATTTAGAGGTGTGCCACAATTCTGGGTTGGTTTTTTTTTTTTTGGTTTTGTTTTTGTTTTTGTTTTTACATTTAAGGACCTAAGAATGAACAATGGTATAAATCTACCAGCTAGTTAAGTGTCTAGCAATGCAGAAACTGCTGTTTGGAACTGTGCTTCTATTTCTATTTGGTTAAGTAATTTAATAGTCTGTAACTATTGAAGGATCCAAAAGAGTAAAGCTTAATGTAAACATAATACAGGTGTAAAATGAAACAGGACAGGTGTATTGTTGACACAACTCAGTTTCTTTTGGGGGAAAAATTTAAATAATTTTACCATTTTTATAGCTGTTTAGGGATAGATTTAGAAATCTGAACTCATAGCATCTTGAACTTTTTATATACAGTAACATAGCACATTGGTTTTATCATGGATTGCTTGACTTGTCATATGAGTAACAGTATTATGAAGATCCAAGATAAAATATTTGTGGTTTCTCTGAATTTAATTATGTTAAATTGTAAAGACATAGTGACAGTATCTTGCATTTTACAATTATATTTTAGAATAAAGTTGGTTCTCTTATTTTGTTTTAGGTAATTTTAATCTTTTTAAAAATCTGTGCTATAGTTTGCTGCTGAATGATTGGGAGCTAAAAATGGGGAAAAAATGTCAATATAGAGGCATACTAATTTATTAATGTCATCTGACTTTCTGAGTCATGTTTAAAGATTATGATGCAATAATATTATAGTGGTTGCAATGTAATAATGTTATGAACAGGTTTGTTCTGCATGTTCTTTTAAGTTTTGAATCCTAGCCTCATTGATACAATGCACGGTATACATTTTTTTTTAAAACACAGAACCATAGGCCAAATTACTTTGTAAGTTAGGAAGAACAGAGTTCCTGATTCTTGTCTTAATATGAGAATATTCTCCCCCTCCCCCATGGTGGTTTTTTTTTAACTGACCAATTTTAAAGTTTTTGTTCTCATTCCTCAGGGGATTCTGTTTAAAGGAAAAAACCTTTCCTGTTATGCAGGGAACAATTGCTTCAGTTCTGTTGACACCAAATACGCATATAACCTCAAATGAATCAACTTCTAAAAGCTTTAGTCTTCCATAGATGTCATATTCATAGGCAGTGAGTCTTTTGAATAATGTATCCTTTCTTTCCTTAACTTACTGGTAATTTAAAAACTTGATGTTTAAAATTGATACTCAATTAAAAAACAAAGTTGCTTCCTAGAATGACATCACTTTTTTTCAAGATTGAGGACTTTAGGAAACACTTTTGTAGCAATTATATAACTTTCTTTGCAGATGAGTGTTTTCCGTGATCCTTTCTCTATTTTTCTTGCAATCCCTAGGACTCCAGGGTTCTCATTGGAAGTCAGGAAAGTGAGTTTTAAGATGTTGCTTATCAGAAATCCATTATGTTGTAAAGTTTCCAGTTTGATTTCTTGAAAGTAACAATATCTAAAAGTCAAATTTTTTATTTAATGTATTTAGAGGAGGTATTTGTTTATTTGAGGCTCAGGGTTGCTTAAAAATATGTGAGGTATTGATGCAAATTAGTTGTGTTGATGACTTACCTTCTACATTTGCATTATAGCAAAATTCATACCATTTTTCTAAAGTGACATTAAAGAATTAAATGATTTATGAAATTTCCTTAAAAGTAATTATTAAGTGGAAGAAAACCAAAGTAATTCTGTGAATGTCTGTGAGCATAAGAGTGGAGGAGAAATGAAAAGCCTTATGTTTTGGGGTGCTAGGTGGCTTAGTAGATAGAGCATCAGCCCTGGAGTCAGGAGGACCTGAATTCAAATCTAGCCTCGGACACTTACTAGCTGTGTAACTCTGGGCAAGTCACTTAACCCTGATTGCCTCCTCTTCTAACCTCCTCCCTTCTCCAAAAAGAAAAGTCTTATGTTTGCTGTATTGATAAATAAGAAGAAAGGTGGAAACTTTCTAATTTTGTTACTTTGATAAGGAGGAATTGTGTGCCATGATAAGCTGAACTCTTAACAGAATTTCTGGTAGGAGAAAAACAGAGTAACTAAGCTATAGTCAGAGTTTTCTGATTTTAGCCATCACTTATCTCATAGTGGCAAATTTAGGAGCAGTGTGCTAT